ACACACACAGAGACACACACACACACACACAGAGACACACACACACAGAGACACACACACACACAGAGACACACACACACACAGAGACACACACACACACACAGAGACACACACACACACACACACAGAGACACACACACACACACACACAGAGACACACACACACAGAGACACACACACACAGAGACACACACACACACACAGACACACACAGAGACACACACACACAGACACACACAGAGACACACACACACAGACACACACAGAGACACAGAATGATCTGAGCTTTTTGCATCAAAGAACCCCTCATTGAAGACTGAAGGGCCTGACCTACTGAACAGCTTTGGTTCTCAAACTTTATCTGTCAGGCCCACCTTCAGAAAAAGGACTGATTATGGTTCATGTGCTCACCAAACCTGTTGGAAAGAGTGTAAAACGGGCAAAAGTATTCCAGATGATCTCAACCGTGTAGTTTGTGATGCAGGCTGCTGTATTTAGCGCCAGTAGGCTAATTGTCTTGTGAGTATTGCATCAAATGTGTGTAAATCAATTCTTTGGTCAATAATTCAAATCAAAATGGTAGGAAGGTCAATATTAGTGTTGTTAAACTATGGCAGTGGTTCAACCAGACAGATGGCAGTGAATGTGATGGTGTGCCTGCGACTTTATTCGTTTTTATTTTGTGAATTATTTCACAAAGTTTTTCTGCTTCAGTCGACCACTTCATTGGTCTTTAACAATAGGACCTTTTCACAGCAGCCATTTTGACATGTAATTGCAGGGTACACACAGGTGTAATTGATAAAACTGATAAAGGTCCCATTCTACTGCATGCACAATACCAGGGAACCACCTAAATGAAACAGGGCCATAATTGATTATTTTTTTTAATCACAACTGTGTTTACCCTGCAATTACATGTCAAAATGGCTGCTGTGAAAAGGGCCCACACAAGCCTCGATTCACGCTTAACAGAAACCTTCCTGGATTTCTCAACACCGGTCCTGAAGACTCGTACGTAACATCGCTGCCAAACACCCAGAAGACAATCGGCTGAATACGTCTTCAGAATCTGGTCGTTCCAGTTCTCTTTGTTCTGAGAGGTTTGTTATCTCCTCGTTTGATAGCTCCTGACCTCATCTGATCCAGGGAGTTTGTCAGATAGCGGAGTTAAAGTGATAGCGATCAAATACGCAAATTATCACTTTAAAAGATGGAAATTACATCAGGTTTTGCGA